CTGCAGGGACCCCCCCCACAACCAAGGGCACCCCCAGGGATCCCCATCTGCACAGACCCTCCCAGGGTACTCCCAGGGACCCCCATGTGTACAGACACCCCCCCCCAGCAAAACCAGGGCCCCCCAGTACCCGTCCCCCCATGGGCGCAGCCCCCCAGGCCTGGCATCCCCTCGTGCCCCACTCTGGGCCCCCACATGGCTGCTTGCATCACCGGATTAGCGTCTAATGGATTTGCGACGGCATTTCGGGGCGGATTTAGGGGTTAAAGGGAAATGTGGGGGTTGGTTTTGTTGTGGGTTTTTTCTCCTCCTTTTTCCAAAGCCCAGGTGTCCCCCAATATACCCTGGGGCTGGGACCCTTGTGCAAAGGGGACACACGGGTTGCATAGGGGTGCAGAGGGGGTCTGTGGGGGCACAGAGGGGTGCACAGCGGTCTATGGGGCTGCAGAGGGGTACATGGGGGGTCTATGGGGGTACACAGGGGTCTATGGGGATGCACGGAGGTCCATGGTGCTGCACGGAGCGGGGGGGGAGTCTGTGGGGCTGCAGAAAGGTGCCAAGAGGTGCAGGGGGGTGCAGTGGGGTGCACAGGGCTCTGTGGGGGTTTGCACGGGGGGGTCTCTGGGGGTGCAGGGACACTTGAAATGGGCAGCAGCCACCCCACGGGCAGCTGTCACCCACCATCGCCCGACCAATTTGTCACCCAGCCCCTAATCCCTCTAATTCGCCCCCAGCCAGAGCCGCCTCATTTGCTAAATTAGATCAGTAAAAATAACCCGGGGGTGGGGGGGTGAGTTAAACGGGGGCCAGGACCCCCCGCAGGGCCAGACGCCTGGGTCCCCCCTACCACTGGATGCCTGGGTCCCTTCTGGGCAGGTTTGGGTCTCTCACCCCAGGATGGGGTGACACCGAGGTCCCCCCCAGCCCAGCTCGCTACCTGCTCCACGCAGCCCTTCGTTAGCAGCCCCTCGTTAGCCGCTGCCGTTAATGAGAGAGGCAGAGGGTGCTCCCCCTCCTTCTTTTCCACTTTTTTTATTATTATTTCATTCTTTGAAGCCTTTTCCTTCTTCCGTGCGCTCGCCAGCCCCGCACCGAGCTGCACGGGGTGGTGGTGGGGGAAGATGCAGCTACAGGGGGGATGGGGGAGACCCGGGGGGGGTCGGGGGTCGGGTCAGGGTGCAGCAGGGGATGAGGATGCTCCCAACGCCGGCTGGAATGGGGTCCCACCCCGCTGCACATCCCACGGGGATGTTCCGTGGCACAGGGATGCTCCGTGCCATGGGAATAGTCCCTGCTGCTGCAGGGATCCTCCATGGTGCAGGGATGATCCGTGCCATAAGTATGCTCCATCCCACAGGGATGCACCGTGCTGCCGGGACCGTCCATGGTGCAGGGATTCTCCATCCCGCTGGGATATCCTGTGCCGTGGAGATGCCCTGTGCCGTGGGGCTGGTCCGTGCCACACGGCAGTGCCGTGTTGCAAAGATGCTCTGTGCCATGGGGATGCCACGTGCCACAGGAACGGTCCATGCCATAATGATGCTCTGTGCCGTGGAGACGCTCCGTGCCATGGGGATGCTCCGTGCCACGGGGATGCTCCGTGCCACGGGGATGCCCTATGCTGCAGGAATAGTCCGTGGTGCAGGGATGCTCCGTGCCATGGGGATGTCTCATGCCAGGATGCTCCGTGCCGGGATGCTCTGTGCCGCGCAGATGCCCCATGCCATGGGGATGCTCCATGCCAGGGTGATGCCCCGTGCTGTGGGAATAGTCCATGGTGCAGGGTTGCTTCGTGCCGCGGGGATGCCTTGTGCCGTGGGGATGCACCGTGCTGCAGGGATGCTCCATGCCATGCAGATGCCCTGCGCCGCGAGGCTGGTCCGTGCTGCAGGGATACCCTGTGCCGTGAGGATGGTCCGTGCCAGGGGGCTGTGCCGTGTTGCAAGGATGCTCCGTGCCGTGGGGGTAACCCACGCTGTGGGGATGCCCTGTGCCGTGGGGCTGGTCCATGCCACGGGGACGCTCCGTGCGAGGATGCTCCATGCCACACAGATGCCCCGTGGAGCAGAAGCGCACAGCGTGGGCTGCCGCTGAGCCTGCGCCGGCCGGGGGGGTCTCGGGCGCCGTTGGCGGGGTCCGGAGCCGGTTCCCCCTCACAAGACCTGGAACTTCCAGGAGCTCTGGTCCTTGTAGTCCAGGCAGTCGGCAGCGTTGAAGTTGAGCTTCCAGGAGGTCGCCTGGTCCTTGTAATCCAGGCAGTCGACGGGGCCGAAGCCCAGCCCGGCGGTGCCGTAGCCTTGCCCCGCCAAGCCTGCGGGCGAGGGGGCCAGGTGGGCACCCATGGCGGGGGTGGCCAAGGGGCTGAGGGCCGCCCCGGGGGCCCCCAGCTGCGGGTGCATGGGCGAGAGGTAGGAGCTGCAGTCCAGGCCCCCAAAATAGGCAGCTGAGCCGGCATAACCTTGACCGTAGCCGGCGGCTTGGCTGTAGGTGCCGGGGAAAGGCGCCGAGCGCGGCAAACCCGGGGCGGCCGAGGAAGCCAACGGGTCAGGGACGGGCGAAATGGACGCTGGGCTCCAGATGGAGACGGTGGCACCGGCGGCGGAGCTGGGGGTGCCGGCGGGAGCGGTGGGTGGGGGGCTGTAGGGACCGGCAGCCCCCGCCTCGGTGCTCGCCTCCCGGGCCGGGGAGCTCTTCTTTTTGGCGGGGCGAGCTTTGGCCTGGCCGCTGCTCTGCTGCTGCTGCTGCCGGCACTTGGCCCGGCGGTTCTTGAACCAGACCTGCGGGAATGGGGAAACTGAGGCACGGGCCGTGCGCACGTGCGACGAGCTGCATCCCCCGGACGTGCATACGTGCATCGGATCACGTCCCTCTGCATGCACACGCGTGCGCGTGTGCACCAGGGACGTGCACATGCCGAGCTGTGCCCCCTGCACGCATGCATGCGTGTGCCTGCATTGAATCGCATCCCTGTGCCTGCACACACGTGTGTGAGCACAGAGCTGCATGCCCTGGGCGTGCAGGCGTGTGCACCGCACCTCCGCACACTCCCGAGCACCCGCATCCATGTGTGCACCCTTGCACGTGTGTGCTGGTGCATCTAGCCCTGCCGTGCCTCCCCCCTGTGCGCAAGGCCATGCATGACCCCTGCTCGTGCACGCGGGGCTGTGCACGACCATCCCCGTGCACGTGGAGCCGTGCACGTTCCCTGCTCATGCACGGCCATTCCCATGCACGTAGGGTTGTGCAGGACTCCTGCTCGTGCCCGCAAGGCCGTGCACGATCCTCCCTGTGCACACGAGGCCGTGCACGTCCCCTGCGCGTGCCGGCGGGGCCGGCGCTCACCTGGACGCGGGATTCGGGCAGGTTGATCTTCAGGGCCACCTCCTCGCGCATGAAGATGTCCGGGTAGCGGGTCTTGGCAAAGAGAGCCTCCAGGATGTCCAGCTGCGCCCGCGTGAAGGTGGTGCGCTCCCGGCGCTGCTTCCGCGGCGTGGCTGCGGCAACAGCAAGGGGGGGGGTGTCAGGGCGGTCCCCACGCACCCCGGCTTCACCGGAGCCCCCCCTCAGATGGGGATGGGACCCAGGGAGCAGGCAGGATTGGGGGTGCAAGGGGAATCTTGCACTGTGGGAGCTGGGATGGGAGTGAGTGTGAAAGCCAGTGCGAAATCCCCGTGCAAACCTCTCTGTGCAAACAACCCCCCCGTGCAACCTCCCCCCCCCGTGCAAACCACCCCCGTGCAAATCCGCCATGCAACACCCCTGTGCAACCCATGCAAACCCCCTCCTGTGAATCCCACCCTCGTGCACATCCTCCCCACCCCAGGAAAACGCCGTCCCGTCCCGGTGCCGGGGCTCACCGGGGTACCCCACGGCGGAGTGCAGCAGGTCCATGCCGGGCCCGGCCAGGCTCAGCCCGTTGACGGCGTAGTGGGGCTGCTTGATGTAGGACATCATGCTCCAGGCGAGACCCTCTGCGCCGGGCCCCGGCGCTGCCGAGATGGGCTCGGCACTGGCTGCAAGGGACACGTGGCAGGGGGTCACGCCCGGCGCGGTGGAGCATGGCACTGTGTGGTGTGGCACTGTGCGGCACAGCATGGCACACGCCACGGCACGGCACAGCCCGGGGCAGCTTGGTACCGTGCAGCACGGCATGGTGCAGCACGGCACGCCATGGCATGGCACAGCCCGGTGTAGCATGGCACCATATGGCACAGCATGGTGCAGTATGGCACACACCACAGCATGGCAAAGCCCGGCGTAGCATGGCATGGCGGAGCCCAGCACGGTGCGGGATGGCATGGTGTGGCACAGCATGCTGCAGCATGGCTCGGTGCAGACCAGCACACCATGACACGGCACGGCACGGCGCAGCATGGTGCACCGCATTGTGGCACACCGCGGCATGCCACGGCCCAGCACAGCACAACACAGCACCGTGCAGGATGGCCCGGCGCAGCGCATCATGGCGCGGCACGGCACTGTGTGGCATGGCACAACTCACCACAGCACGGCGTGGTACAGGGGGTGCCCGGTGGGGACGGGTGCCCTGGGGTAGGTGCAGGATCAGTCCCAGCCCCCCTCCCTCGTCCTACCTGTGCGCCCCACGGTCCCCCGGGCTCCGGCTGGGATATGCACGGGCTGCGCTGCGGGGACAGAGGGACGCAGTTGGCACAGGGGTTGGGGGGACACACAGCATGGGGACACCCTTGGGGATGGGGACCCTCGCCTGGTCCCCAATGGAGAGCACCAGCCAGGATGTCACCCTCCCCATCCCCAAGCCAGGGGGAGAGGCTGATCCGGTCACCCTGTCCCCAAAGTGGTGACTTGTCCCCATGCTGGGGGGGGCACTGTGGAGCATGTTGCTCTGTTCCCAAACTGGGGACAAAGCCTGTTCCCAGTATGGGGACCCGATCTCTGCGCTGGGGACAGAGCCAACGCCTTGTCCTCAAGGTGGGGAGGGCACCCCAGGGCCAGTCACACCATCCCCCAGCTGGGGACAGAGCCGGTGGCTTGTCCCCGAGCCAAGGAAGGTCACCCCCAGCGTCCAGATCCCATCTCCGAGGCAGGGGACGGAGCCAGCGGCTTGTCCCCAAGCCAGGGGATGTCACCCTGGCGCCAGGAACCCTGTCCCTGAGCCAAGGACAGCATCGGTGGCTTGTCCTTGAGCCGGGGGAGGCCACCCTGGAGCTGGCCGCTGTCCCCCAGTCAAGGGATAGAGCCGGTGCCTTGTCCCCAAGCCAGGGGACATGCCCCCCAGGGCTGGTGACCATGTCCCCAAGCTGGGGACAGATGCGGTGGCTTCTCCATGATCCCAGGGACGTCACCCCAGAGCTGGTGACCAT